CGGCCACGGGGGCAGTTCGATTCAACAGTTTTGTTGGGTCGGTCCACGATCGAACTGTCACACAGTATACTAATAAACTACTGCAATATTATAATAATATTTTTAAAATGCCCAATATAAACTTAAAACGTAAAAGGTTAAGCGGTTCTCCATAAAAAAAAAATCTAAAGCAAAAAAAAAATAAAACAACTGAACAAAAAAACTGAGAAATTATATCATAACTATTTTGTTAAAGGTACATTAAAAATTATGTACTGTGTTCGAATAATAACGATAAAACGTTGTCTTATTAATACCATTTTATCGTGGACTCAACCGCGGATAAAAAATCTGCGGATAATGAGGGATTACTGTAATGTATGTTTTAATGGTATTATCTGGTTAGTTATCATTAGGTCTGGGATTTCGATGTACTTTGCATTGTTTTTTAAAGCTTACTGTGCAATGCTTGTCTTGTCTACAATTTGTTTTATGTACATTTGAATGAGAATAAGAAAGTTTATTTTGCATTTTTTGGCATTTTCTAGTTTTTAGGTCATTTTCTTAATTTTTTAGGGCATTTTAGAGTTTTTGGAGCATTTTTTGAGTTTTTGGAAAATAAGTGTATGAATTTGAAATTTTATTTTAAGATTTTAAGATTTTTACACCAACATGGTTTTTAAATAAAAATAACAGATTATAAGTAGGTACTTGTATTTCGTATTATATTATCGGGCAATTAACTATTTTTTTAGATTTATACTAAAACTATGTATTTACAGTTTACACTTGTAATAGATTTTTATAATGCATTTTTTAAAACTTTTTATTGTAATTTATACTAAAATTATTAAAAATAACAAAATTTTTAGATCATAAAAGCATTTTTTTAGGACATTTTTCGGGTTTTTTTAGGGAATTAAATTCCCAGCCCTAGTTATCATAATAACTGTTATCATTAGATCCAAATTTTCTAAATTTAATTTCTAATAATATTTGTATATTGATGATTGAGATTCTTCACAGTATTTTTTTAATTATCTGTTTTAGGAATATACAACTGGCTTAGAAATACAAGGTGTGAGTGGTTCTCCTGTTGATCCAGCTGAATAGTAAATCAATTCATGGTTAGTCGAACATTTCATTTAAGCCAACCTCGTCAGGATACAAGTAAAATCAATTTTAATAAAACTCGTCGGATTTATGGAAAATACTTACTCCAACTACCTCGAAATATATTCTCAAGAAAATTAAATAATTTACAAACACTAGTTCAAGATTGGTTACTATATTCTTCCTCAAAAAATGCGTAATTCTGTTTTCCAAGGGAATATATTTATTAGGAAATATACGGTATGGTTTAAAAAAAACTGGCCAAATGTTATGAAAAAGTTCAAAATATGAAAAAAGTCCACTTCATTGTAAATTTGTGAGGATTTGGTATTTGAACAGTAGGGGCTAAAAACAATTCAATCGATAAAGTTTTAAAAGACGAAATGTATTCTAGAATATCATGTTTTACTCAAGTTCTTTTTCGTGTTGTATCAACAATTACGTTCATGGCTGAATGAGGACTTTCAATTTGATGTAACAATAGTGAATTTGACACAAAAAAATTAAATTAAATTTGGCTAAATAATTTAGCATAATGGTATAATTATTACTTGGGATGTTTGGAACTAATTTTGTACCATGTGCGGCACACTCTCTCAACCTTATTGGCTCCAATGCTGCTAAATCTTCAAAAGGAGGTACATACATTTTTTATACTATTCAAATGGTGTATACATGTATATCATCATCAACCTACGGATGGGAACTTCTTAAAAATATCAACGACAAATCTCTGTCAAAATCTACAACTGTTCCAACTTCCAAACAATGTATGTGTTACTATAGGTGGTAAGCATGTAAAGGAATATTATCCGGATGTAAAGAAATATGAGATCAGTTTTAAAAATATTATTAAAAGATATAACTCAAACACACCACCGACTAGAAAAGAAGCAAATCCAATATGGAAAAAATTGGAAAAATTATAGTTTGTTTTCATGTTGAACGTATGGATCCCAGAATTATAGAGATTCGATGCTAGAAACAAAACACTACAGTCAAAAGATATACATTTATCTATTGATGTTTCATTATATGAACGATTAGAATTGTATGAACAAGATTAGAGAAAACTATTTGATGAAATTTAGAACAAATCTAAAGATCTATATGGAAAATTAACTTTTTCAAGGGAAAAATCAAGAGTTATTAAGTAGAAAAGACAATTTAATGATACAAATTCTATAGATACTATACATCTATAAATAATGGAGATGATAAAATAAAAGATGACACGTTTTACATTTTAATAGACATATCACATATATATACACTAGTATGGTCAAATCATCACAATATAATAATGAAAACATCAATGAGTACGATGTAGAATATCATAAGTAATCACTAAAAATCTTACAAAATACAAGTTTAATTATGTCCGGCAATGTCTCATTCGAAGAGAGAGTGAGCAGAGAAAAGAGAGGATTAAGTGAGTGAGACGTATATGCTGGTGCACGTAGCTCCCTCTCTCGTAGCTGCCACCCCCAATACGTTACAGCAGAAGTGCTTTTACGTGGTTTAGTCCACTCTATCATCTCTATAAGAAAGCTTCACTTTAAAAAACAAAAAAAATTGTACGTACTTATATAATCTAAAAAAATAATAAATAAAATAGTAATGAATAACTGTGGAAAACTGTATTTAATAGAATATATTATTTACAGAATATGCTATGAGAGATGTTTCGCATAGGCCACAAAGTAAGTTTGTAATAATATATCCAGCACACAAATACGTAATAAAAAAAAAACCAAAAATTAATTACCTAATATTTCTGTTGGGTTTCTAGAATCTATAAGAAGTAAAAAATAATATTAAGTTGACAACATTAATAACCATTTACAACTCACAACTATACAAGTATATCGATTAAGATATTATTGAGATATATTTATATGTTATTTTTACTAATCCATTGTACTTCATAATGAATTTTCTCAAGATTTTGTGACTATTTGGTAATTAAATGTACGACGTTTACGATTATACTGTTTGTAATTTGCATGGAAGTTCAAAGTTAATTTGTAAAGGATGAGTATTTTAGTTACTTATACGTACTTAGTGTATATACCTACTAAGGTATATTATACATGGATATTAAAGATACTTACAATGTGTATTATATTGATATATCATTGTATATATATATATAAATGTGTACGTAAAATGAAGAAGTGACTAAACAAAGTCATGATATGAAAGTTTAAGTTTACACATTGAATGCTACAGTATTTATGATTTGTATTTAGTAAAAGTATCCGCGCCCCGCGTTGTGAAATTATTATTTAATTAATACTATTAAATTCATTATTTTCAGTACTGACAGTTCAAATATATGACAATTCTATGTCTGTAGTTCTTAAAGTTTCAAGCAATAAACAGTTTCAATTTAACCAAGATGATAGCGAACAAACTGCAAGCAGTACACTAAAAAAAAAAAATAGTGGTAAGTTTTATTTTAAATGTAGTTTTGAAGTATGGACCAATAATGTTGTTGGTATAAATAGTATAATTTATAATTATATATGTATATTTTTATAGGTATTAAAAATCCAGTATCAAGAAAAATTTTATTTGACAATAAATCAGATGATGAACGTGACATTTTAAATGATGGTAAGTCAATTGTACTATTTATTTTATTTTTTAGTATTTTACAAAAAGTAAACATCCACAATACCTTCAATGATAAAATATTTAACGGTTAAATTTAATTTTGAATATCAAGTATTTTTAGTTATCAATAGTCTAGAATACTTTAATATTAATACTTAATAGTTTTGAAAATGATTTAAATAAACAAATTTTAGTGGACATTGGGCTAATGAAATTAATAATAATATGCTAATTTAAATGAATCAAATCAATTTTAATATTTAATGTTTCAATATTTGTGTTTACAGACACTGAAAATGATAATCTGGACGAAGTATTTTTGAATAGACCAATAGGACAAAATAGTAAGATATAGTTTTATTATTTAATTTAACTGTTATATGATATTATAATAAACAATTATTTTTACAGCCAATAATGGCTCCACAAAAGAAAAAGGTTTGGCTATACGTAATACTATACCTAACCCAACAGAAACGGATCATAATAATAAAAATGGTATCTAATTTAAAATAAACAATCATTACATATTTTCAATATCATTATTTAAATTTCATTTTTTCAGATCTATTGCAATCTCAAAACCATTTATTAAGACATATAACATTTTTAAAATATGAGTTGAAACAAATTTTAAACAATCAAGCAATAATACTCGATAAATTTGACCAAATGGAAAAATATTTTGATCAAAATTCATTGAATAAGAATGTTATGGATATTGATAATGTCGTTGACTTTAGTGACTGTCCTTTACCAATTGATAACATCTATGATTTACAAACATTTGAAGACAAGATATCTGGCGATCAAAATTATAAAAATCAATTAGTAAGTTAACCCCAACTTATTTCATTATCTATGGTTTATTGATAAAGATCATAGGTGCAACTAGAGCTCTATTTCTGGGTAGGCTAAATTGATATCAGCAAACCCGTAGGGGCTATAAAACTGGGTGGGCTATAGACAAAACTAGGTAGG